CTCCCTTTTTAATCTTGCTTTTTCTCAGTGGCCGTTCTCACATATCTGAGCTATATTTATGCAGTTGCATACAATTGTATTTGCTTTACTTTTTTTAACTTTTTTTTCTCGGTTTTTGGTTTTTGAGACAGGGTCTCCCTGAAGCCCCAAATAGCCCAGAACTCACTATGTAGACTGATCTCAATCTCACAGAGAGTCTCCTGCCTCTGCCTCTTAAGTCCTGAGGCGAAAGATGTATATCACCACATCCAGTTCCTGATTTACTTTTATTATTATACCACTGTGGGTAAATTATAATTTACTTACTAATTGTATAGATAATGTATGTTTGGGTTGCTTGTCATTTCCTTTAATATTTTATTATTTTTATTTTATGTGTATGCACATATTGTCTACATGTAGGTAAGTGCACCCATTTCGTGCAGTGCCTGCGGAGGACAGAAGATGCTGTCAGATCCCCTGGAACTGGAATTACAGACAGTTGTTAGCTGCCATGTGGGTGCTGGGATTTGAACCTGGGTCTTCTGCAAGAACAGTCAGTGTTCTTAACTGCTGAGCCATCTCTCCAGCCCCTGCTTGTAATTTCTTAATATTATAACTAGTGCAACAGTGAACATTCTAGAAAACCTTGGGCGTTAGTGGGGATATTTCTGGGACTGGAATTGGTGGCCACACACACATGGATATCTTTATCTGTACTAGATGATACTAGCTGCCTCTTTTATTCTTGCTGTAAATACATGAGAACTCCAAGCTTTCCACCATTGCTAACACTTGAAACACACAAAAGCAATGGGAAATGCAAATAAAAGTACGAAAACAGAGTTTGTGAAAGAACTAACACTTCTTTGTTCTGGAATAGATCTAATAGGCCAGAAATTAATAGGGTATAAAATAAATAATTGAATTGGTCAATTCAGTTTATCATTATACATTTCAAATTCTTTTAACTAGAGGATAGATATACTATCTTTTGTATGATTCAGATATTGATGAAAAATTGGTCATATAGTTGTTTCAAGGAAAAACCTTAAAATCAGGGAAGTAGAGACTTTATAGGCCATATTCTCTGATCTAAATGCTAGTCAGTAATAAGGTCTCAAAATGTATGCACTTAGAAATTATGGAACACAGTTAAGATAACCCTTGAGATAAACAGAAAATCAAAGGAACAATTGAAAAGCCCTCTTCCGGGGCTGGAGAGATGGCTCAGCGGTTAAGAGCACTGACTGCTCTTATAGATTACCTGGGCTGATTCCCAGCACCCACACGGTGGCTATGAACCATCCTTAACTCCAGTTCCAGGGGATTCCAAAGCCCTCTTCTGACCTCTATGGCATTGCACGACACAGGTACACTCACATACATGCAGGTAATATACTCATACAAATATACTCATCACTAAAATGCTACTGATCTAGTAAATAATGAAAGCCATGGATCAATCTCACATGAATACATTTGCAAGATATATTCAGAGGACCAGTGTTCCCTACGCCATAGAATTTCATTCTTTGTCCAGGAATGAAAAGATAGTTTCAATATCAAGAAAACTAATGCAAAGTTTGTTATACTAAGAAATTCAGGGAGAAAGTAATCATATCCATAGATGATGAGTATAAGCTGATAAAGTTCAATAGTGATTCCCAGTAAAAACAAATCCAGGAGGGTCATAGAAGGAAACAAAGTATGATAGAGATTGTTTAATTACAATTTGCTATTAGTTTAGGTATGGTAAAGGCATGAGAAATACTTTCCTTTTTTATGAACTGAGTAACTGAAGGAGAGATCTGATGAAACGACAAAAAAAAAAAAAAAGAAAGGGGAAACCTAGGGCATTAGCTGGTTAGATGAATAAAAAGAGTTGGTGGGGGCGGAAGGCCACAATTATCAGAAGAAAAATAAATATGTGCTGATTGGCTCAGATGATCCCCTGACAGCTAAGTGTCCTGATAGAGCAAGGAAAGTGTCTCATTATCTTACAGATTCCCCCATTGACATTGCTAAGCATTGTCCAATGAGATTTTCTTTCAGGTAATGTATTTTATGTTTCAAATATTAAGGGCATACTTATCTTGAGTATTGGAGTCAAGATGATGGGAAGTAGGTGCAATTTGGTGAGAAGTGGGCATTGTGTAGTGGGGAGTGTTTGCAAGCCAGGTTAAGGACTGAGAAATGTGAAACCAGGGCTCTGGCAATAATTTCTCTTCTCCAAACAGTTTCTATGAACAGGTCTCCATCAGCCACAGCTCAGTCTTGCTGAAGAAAGCCATCAAACAGTTAAGTGTAAAGGCTTCAAATTAAAAAGAGACTTTAATTCACCAATTCTTATCCCATCCACTCTAACTCAATAATAATCGATCAAATCTCCCTGATAATAAGTTCTTCTCTTGCATGGGTGAAAGAAAAGACAACAATATGTAAAAGATGAAGAACAGCTGGGTGAGTTGGCACACACCTTTAATGCCAGCACTCGGGAGGCAGAGGGAGGCTGATCTCTGTTAGTTCAAGGTCAGCCTGGTCTATATAGTGATCCAGGCCAGCTTCAGCTACAGGGAGATCCTGTCTCAAAAAGAACCTTAAAACACTAAAAATGAACCTACCATATGATCCAGTGATACCACTCCTTGGCATATACCCAAAGGACTCATCGTACTGTAGAGAAACCTGTACATCCATGCTTGTTGCTGCTCTCTTCACAATGCCTGAGAAATGGAAACAACCTAAATGTCCTTCAACTGATGAATCGTTAATGAAAATGTGGTCCATCTACTCAATGGAGTTCTACTCAGCAGTAAGAAAAGATGAAATTATGAACTCTGCAGGTAAATGGATGGAGCTAGAGAGTGTTATACTAAGTGAAGTAACACAAACACAGAAAAGACAGCAACATATGTTTTCCCTCATTTGTGGATTGTAGCACCAATCCCTTATATGTGAGTATATAAATTCTGAAGTAACACCAGGAGCCAGGTAAAGGCAAAGGATACATGGAGGTAAAGGACAAGAAACAACCTGAAAGGGAGATAGTAGGGAACAGATCCTACCTGAGGGAGGTGGAAAAAGTGGGAGTAATTGGCAGGGAAGAGAGGAGGGAGGAACGTGCAAGGGACCATAGTGTGGGGGAGCGAGGGACATCAGGAAAGGAAAGATGGCGGGAGTCCAGAGGTATTTGGGGGAGAGTAGTGAAAATGGGGGCACTGTGACTAGGAAGGGAGGGAGGAGGGAGGCCAGATGGGGGAAAAAAAGAGTTGAGATGAGTGAATCTCAGGGTCTAGGAAACATAGAGGGAAAAGTGATCCCTTAGAAACCCTATGAGAAATGCACATAGAGTGTCTGAACATTAGTGCATATGTATACCTAGGAGCTGCTTGGTAGGGAACACAGTGCCAGATAGACAAGACCTCCCTTAAAGTGACAAAGATGCCATATAGCACTCATCAAAGAAGTTTTTTTCAACAGATGGAGGCTACTGCAGAGTTGCACATCTCGTCAGGCACAGAACAGAGAATATACACCTGGGCGATGGCCAGTACTACATGACACATCTGCAGTCGAATCTCTAGAACCAAGGCTAATGGAACATAGCAGAATACTGGGTAGAGAGAGAGAGCTAATGCACCCCTCAACTTTCACCAGAGAGGCTTCCATGTACATCAGAGTACGATGCACACAGAAGGCCACAACTGGCCATGTTTTGGAGATTGAGAGACTATAGAGTGTAGGATTAGACTCCTATATGAAACCTCACCTACCCATGGCTCAGGGACCATTGTGGAAGAGGAGACAGAAAGATTGTAAGAGACAGTGCTGGTTCATGAACATAAGGAGGTGGAGTTGGAAGCTTACTCATGTGAGCCTGTGGCAGCCATGCATCAAATACAGGACCCATGTCAGCTCAATTAAACAAGGGCCTAAAGGGGAGGTGAGAAATAGGTGGCTGGGCAGCACTAGATAGAGAACTATTTGAGACTGATTGCTGCTGGGGGAGGGAGAGTATGACTTACATATGACCACTGGCTGGGCTGACTAGACTCCAGTGGACACATTTACACTGAAGGGCAAACACCTGAATGACTAGGACTCAGCATGTATGCCAGAGTGCATAAAATTCGGTGTGGGGATAGGGGAGACATGGGTGGGGGAGAGGGTCTGAATTAGAGTGGGAAATGTATGAAATTTTAAAAGCTCAACTAAAAAAAGAAAAAACAATGACAACAAAAGATGAGGAACAAAAGAAGAAAATGGATACAAACCAAAGACTTCCCAGTTTTACCTGGACATGATCCACTGATCCTCATTGGCACAGGACAGCATGCTCAGAAGTCTTTCGGAATTAATTGTTTGCGTGACTTTTTTTCCCACTTGACATTGTATGTGAAGCATTTCTTTTAAAGCACATGCCAGCTCTCTTCAAAGGGAGCAGTGTTCTCAGATGATGCATTCATTGACGTATCACTGCAGATTTGGGGACAAAATTGTGTACTGTAGACTCTCACTGTGTTTAATTTTTCAGACATTTCACTCCTCCCCTCTTGCCTCCAGACACATTTTTCCTCCTCCCACCTCCACAGTGGTTTCAGAAGGTTCTGTTACAAGTTCTCAAGAGGCTCCATTGTGCAGTAACAAAGAATTCTAGCAGCGAGTGGCAAGTTCTGTTCTTGCCTGGTGTCCTGAGTGAAAGGCTCCCATATCCCAGGCCTGCAAGCTTGCTAAGCACTTGGAACTCAAATGAAAATTCATCATGGCAGTCAGACCTATTGGGTGGGTGTGTGGGCAGGCACTGAAGACCTTTTCTGGAAGAAGTACGCATAGTCTTATTGGAAATGGGGATATGGGCAAGGGAACAATTGGGAATAAAATTCCATGGAGTTCCCGTGTATGCCCAGTCACCCAGGTGGTGGGCCCAGTATGCTCATTTGAATCTTAGAGGGTATTTTTAAAAAGGTTTTTTCCTCCTAACTTCTTTTTTCTTAGTTGAGGGGTTCCAGAAATCAATCATGGACCTTTTAGATGAGTTTAAAGATGAATTCCCTACCATCCTAAGATTATCACAGTCTAATCAGGTAATGTGATTTTATAAGTTTCAAAAAGGACGAAAATGTATTATTAGTATCATATAAATGATTGATGTTGAGGTCAGTGCAAAAAGCTTAAGAAAATATTAATTTTGCCTCAGGAAAAGAAATTTCCAATCTTACTCATTGGGAAGAGAACTTGGTTAACAGAGAGGCACCAAACCAGGATATGACTAAGATAGATCAATTAAGATTAAAACCTGAAATCTGAAAGTCTGTCATAGCCACTACTGGCAATAGTTAGAATTTGCTTAATGTAAAAATTTAGCTAGAAATACTTAGCTACAAATCTAAAGCAATTAAGTCAGTGCAAACATGTAACTGAGATAAACTGTAACACTGGAAAGATAAATACAGTATGACTATGTCTATTTTAATGTAGAAAGAAAATACTGGTATCTACCAATTTAAACAAAGTACATATATATTTTTAAAATCTGTATTCAAAAAATATTTGAATCAGGTAAAATATTGGGAGTGGAAGAAAGGAGAGAGAGAATTTTGAAGATGTTTACGGTCAAGAATAAAAGCACTATCTTATTTAAAGGACACGTGCAACTTATTCAAAGGAATGCCTTTGAACTACAGTACACTTTAAAGCTATATGATGCTTTAATAATCTACTTACCTTAAAACCAGACTTGTATCATATGTGAACTGTATAGCCCAAACCAGGAAGGAAACGTAAAAACATTTGAGCAACATGGTAATCACCAAGTCTGTGTGTTTCATTAGGAAAGGCGAGACAGCTGTCTTTAGCCATTCCTCAAGATAAGTAGCCATCAGACATTTACTAAATACCTCTCTATTGCTCAGGCCTGGGGAGAAGAAGCTACAGAGACAATAAGACATGATTCCTTGTTAACGAGCATAATTTAATGAAGACAGACTTGCAAGCAAGTAATTGCATTAGAATGTGGTAAATGTTACTGAGGTATTGTTAATTTAACCAGGACAGGATATGGAGATCTTTGGATGCCATGCAACAAAAGAGCTTTGCCTTTGTCTTAATTATAATGTAGACATGTGACACAGAAGATTTTAAAGATGGAAATGACATCCAGTTTACACTTTGAAGATAGATAGTTCTTGGGGCTGGGGAGATGGTTCAGTGGGTAGGAGGCTTGCTATGTAGGCAAGAGGACCTGAGTTTGAATCACCAGCACCCTCATAAAAGCCACATGTGGCCATATGTGCCTGTAAACCCCAGCATTGTAAGGTGGTGAGAGGTGGATCATGTGAGCTTGCTGCCAGTCCAGCTGAAATGATGAGCTTCAGGTTTGGTAATAGACCCTGTACCAAATCTATAAGGTGGAGAGTAAGAGAGATAGCCTGAGTCCTCCTCTGGCCCCTCCATGGGCTCATGCAACCACACACACATAGATGTGTGCATACATCACATATACACCTTATGAGAGAGAGAGAGAGAGAGAGAGAGAGAGAGAGAGAGAGAGAAAAGAAAAAGAAAATATTTCTCTAATGATAATGTGCTCTTAATGGAGACAGGGCTTCTAGTATGATTCTTGTTATAGCCAGGCATAGTGACACACACCATTAATTCCAGCACTCAAGAAGTAGAGGCAAACAGATCTGTGTGACTTGAAGCCAGCCTGTTCTACACGACGTTTCAGGCCAGTCAGAGCTACAGAGTGAGGCCCTGTTTCAAAAAACACAAATAAAACAAACAAAAAACCAGGATGTGTTATAAATGGCAGCCAGGAACAAGGGCACTAACAATGGGACACTAGGGATGGAAAAAAATGGGTGGAGCATTTACCATATATGGAAACTGACAGTGTGGGATGAGGATAAGTAGGGGTTAAGGAAAATTCTAGATTCCTTGAGTGGCTGGAAGAATAAGGATCCTACTAACTAGCAGAGAGGACCATGAGGTTGAGCTGGCATTGGAGCTAGTTAGTACATAATTCTGACCCTAGGCTAACAGAGGAAGTAGCTCCTCTCCATTTGGGGGATCTAGACTTTGAAGAAGAATGATACTGAAGTGTGGGTTCTGGATGAATAGTGGTTGGACAGCATGCTGGTATTGGTCAGGTGAGCAGGGCAGAATAAGGTTTGAAAGCTCCAAAGAAGAAACTAAATTTTGTAATTCCAGATCTTCAACCTGGAGCCTAATTACCATCCTGTTTGCATTCACCTGGACCTGTTATAAAGTGTTTAGAAACACCGGAAGCTATTGTTGGCAATACTCTGGAGTTCTAATGGAAGAGATGGACAGATGTTCACAGTGGGTCTAGGATGCAAATGCTTAAAAGTGAATGGTAGTACTAGCAATAATTATTGAGAAAGCCTCAAGGTGAGTCCTAGAAGCCAGCCAGAGTCAGAGCAGGAGTCCTGTTATGCTTCCAAATGTGCTTCATCCACTGCCAAAATTAAAGGCACTGGGATTTTTTCAATCAAAAATGTTGCAGTTCCTTTGCAACCCCTTTAATCTTGTTCCCCTTTCTGGAAGCATCGTTGTCACTGGATCCAAGACCATGATTTATAGTCAAACAGGTGGCTATCTTCTCCCTAAAGAAAGAACTCTACATTTCGTTTCCAACTCCTTGAAGTTATTTACTTA